CAAAACGATACGTACAAACAACTGAACAAATTGCACTAAGACTAATAACACGAATAAGACACCCCCAAAACCCCCTGCACAACCCTTCCAACCAACCACTATATGAACGCACAAACATGACCAAAATTTCGGAAAGACTAATACACTTACAGACAAAATGGACAAACAACCCTCACAACTGGACCATACTGAATCCCCTTTGCCTAACAAGACGGGCAAAACATTCCCGTTTTCGTACCCCAACAGATACTTTACTAGAACACCTACAAACGCAACTGAACTAACGACTAAGACCTGTTTGTTTTGTGGGCCGGGAATTTTTTTTTATCACTGATTGAATTATACCAGTGTTAGGAATAGGACTTAATTTTAGAATAAGCTAGGCTAAGACATATATGTACTACTCAAGGGCAGAAAGACCGATTGGGTCGATAGCCTTTTTCTATACGAAATAAAGATTATTTTTACAGGCATCTAAATTACAGGCATCTAAATATACAGGCATCTAAATTACCCTTTTCTGAAATTTTCGTAAAAGTGACAATACCTTCATTAGGATCAAGGAGATCTTGGGATAGGAGTGGATATTGATTGGACAATTTAGCCCAGTCTAAACAATTTGCATGATTTAAATTACCATGTTTTAAGTGTTTAGCTGTTATCCGGTTAAAATAAAAATTGTAACTAAATGTGCAAGATTGCAAGTCCATAAAAAAAGTTGGTAATAAATATAACGCTATGTGAAAGCATATTATTTACAAGGGTTTCAGATAACATCCTCCGGTTACGATAATTGGATTTCGTGTTCTACGTTCTTTATATCGAAATAATAATAAATGCCGAAGGTGAGGGACCCGCATTTTTTGTAGAAATTTCAATAAAATCATTTGTGGCAACACGGAAAATTTACAGGATCTCACGTCGGGAACAAAAAGGATGTCTGAAACGTCCAAGGGAACAAATTGAATCCATACAATAAATTTTGAACACACCCTTTCTCCGTTAATCTGTATCTTAATAAATGAGAAAATTGGTTTGAAAATTTTATGTATGATGTTGATTGAATTATTTCCCTTGGTCACTTTAGTCACCTTTCTCATTCTCGAAGTGGGACCCTGGAAAACAGCAGCTTACCCTGTCTATTTTAATAAAAGCTTTCAATTTTGTGCGTGTTTTCGTCGCTCGTTACATAATAAAACTTCTTGGATGGTACGGAAAAACTGAAAAAGTTGCGATTATTTCTTGAGTGTAGCAGCTCTTGAAGTAGCACTTTCAATTTTCCTATTAATTAATAAATTAACCAGCTATGTTACTAAAAGTATTCGCATTGTTACACGGACTAGAATTTACCTACTCGATTGAAGAATCAGTTAGCGTTTCAATTCATTTAATTATTTTATTATGTTTCCCAAAACTGGAAATGTATAAAAATGTCGAATATGGTTAAATTTTACCTTTTTTGTGGATACTCCAATGGGGTCCCATCATTTATATGGAAAACTTTTTGTTTTTTTTAATACAAGCACATTAATTCTCAGATAGTCAAACCGAAGTTGCCGAAGAAAGTGAAAATGGTCGCCACTGAAGTGTTAATGGTTGAAGTCATTCTGAGCGCAGTGGTAGTTCACATAAGGTCGAATTATTTTTGTAAGCAATGAAAACTGATGTTTCAAAGTGAGCTTTTAAAGTGAAATTGAAAAGTATCAGGAAAAATTGTGGTTTTGTAATGAAACTCGTATTTCATTCCCTTGGGAATTCAATTGAAAAACTACATTTTGAAACTGAAAAAGTCAAATTAAGGTACTGGTCTAAATGCTTTGGGTTATTACACGTAATAATGCAGTTTTACCAATGCTGAAAATATGCAAAACAGATTTTCCCAAAAATACTCCGACAAAATCTAATTTATGATTTAATTCGATTTCCTGCAACGCCATAGATATCAGATGGTTCCTAAATCTGAAGTTTTTTTAATAGCAAATCTATTTACGTTAAATACTGGATTTTCAAGCACAATCTATACAGATCATTAAACGTTCATGTATAATGAAAATGTGCTAACTGTCGCTTGGTGGCATAAACTTAAAAAACTTTTGCGTAGGTACATTTAAAAAAGTAGGTAGCTAAAAGTAAAATCTGCACTTACTTGTCTGTAGATGGCTGCATTCAAAATTGCCAGGGAAAGGAATGGCAGCAAATACATGCAAATCAGGTAGAGCCAGTGGATGTACACAGTCTGATAAATCTCATTGTCTCTAAAGGTGGACTGCATCGGACAATAGATTGTCGTGTTGTATTCACCCACCCACTCGGATTTCACTTTGCCTTCCCAAAACCTCGGGATATTGTAAAGTGCTGAGAAAATCACTATTCCTACAAGGTAGATTCTCGCCCTTCCATATGTACATAGCGATCGAGCTCTTAGAGGATGACACACAGCTACGTAGCGTTCTAGAGACACTGTCATTGTGAGATACACAGAAGCAGTCTGCATTATAGTGGCCAAAGGGTACACTAAACCGGCAATGTGAGGATAAACTCTG